TTGACTTCATGTGACCTTTTCGCCAATTCAGGTTCCCCGCTAAATTTTGCGTAACGAGGTTCCCGACTAAATTTAGCGTGAAATTGACTTCACGTGACCTATGCACCAATTCAGGTTCCCCGCTAAATTTAGCGTAAAATTGACTTCACGTGACCTAGGCACCAATTCAGGTTCCCCGCTAAATTTAGCGTAATCAGGCTCCCGACTAAATTTAGAGTGAAATTGACTTCACGTGACCTATGCACCAATTCAGGTTCCCCGCTAAATTTAGCGCAAAATTGACTTCATGTGATATATGCGCCAATTCAGGTTCCCCGCTAAATTTAGCGTAATCAGGTTCCCGACAAAATTTAGCGTGAAATTGACATCACGTGACCTATGCACCAATGCAGTTTCCCTGCTAAAGTTATCGTAATCAGGTTCCCGACTAAATTGAGCTTGAAATTGACTTCACGTGACCTATGCACCAATGCAGTTTCCCTGCTAAAGTTATCGTAATCAGGTTCCCGACTAAATTTAGCTTGAAAATGACTTTACGTGACATATGCACCAATGCAGTTTCCCTGCTAAAGTTATCGTAATCAGGTTCCCGACGAAATTTAGCTTGAAATTGACTTCACGTTACCTATGCACCAATGCAGTTTCCCTGCTAAAGTTATCGTAATCAGGTTCCCGACTAAATTTAGCTGGAAATTGACTTCACGTGACCTATGCACCAATGCAGTTTCCTCGCTAGATTTAGCGCAAAATCGACTTCACGTGACCTATGCACCAATTCAGGTTCCCCGCTAAATTTAGCGTAATCAGGTTCCCGACTAAATCTAGCGTGAAATTGACTTCACGTCATATATGCACCAATTCAATTTCCCCGCTTAATTTCGCGCAAAATTGATTTCAAGTAAACTATGCACCAATTCAGGTTCCCCGCTAAATTTATCGTAATTAGGTTCCCAACTAAATTTAGCGTGAAATTGACTTCACGTGACCTATGCACCAATGCAGTTTCCCTGCTAAAGTTATCGTAATCAGGTTCCCGACTAAATTGAGCTTGAAATTGACTTCACGTGACCTATGCACCAATGCAGTTTCCCTGCTAAAGTTATCGTATTCAGGTTCCCGACGAAATTTAGCTTGAAATTGACTTTACGTGACATATGCACCAATGCAGTTTCCCTGCTAAAGTTATCCTAATCAGGTTCCCGACTAAATTTAGCGTGAAATTGACTTCACGTGACATATGCACCAATGCAGTTTCCCTGCTAAAGTTATCGTAATCAGGTTCCCGACTAAATTTAGCTTGAAATTGACTTCACGTGACCTATGCACCAATGCAGTTCCCTCGCTAGATTTAGCGCAAAATCGACTTCACGTCACCTATGCACCAATTCAGGTTCCCCGCTAAATTTAGTGTAATCAGGTTCCCGACTAAATCTAGCGTGAAATTGACTTCACGTTGTATATGCACCAATTCAATTTCCCCGCTTAATTTCGCGCAATATTGATTTCAAGTAAACTATGCACCAATTCAGGTTCCCCGCTAAATTTATTGTAATTAGGTTCCCGACTAAATTTAGCGTGAATTTGGCTTCACGTGACCTATGCACCAATTCAGTTTCCTCGCTAGATTTAGCGCAAATCGACTTCACGTGACCTATGCACCAATTCAGGTTCCTCGCTGAATTTAGCGTAGTCAGGTTCCCGACTAAATTTAGCGTGAAATTGACTTCACGTGTCCTATGCACCAATTCAGTTTCCCTGCTAAATTTAGGGCGCTCAGATTCCCCGTTAAATTTAGCGGAAATTTCACATCGCGTGACCTTTGCACCAATTCAGGTTCCCCGCTAAATTTAGCGCAAAATTGTCTTCATGTGCCCTATGCACCAAATCAGGTTCCCCGCTAAATTTAATGCACTCGGATTCTCCCCTAAATATAGCGGAAATTTGACTTCACGCGACCTATGCGCCAATTCAGGTTTCCCGCTAAATTTAGCGCAAAATTGACTTCACGTGACCTATTCGCCAATTCAGGTTCCCCGCTAAATTTAGCGTAACGAGGTTCCCGACTAAATTTAGCGTGAAATTGACTTCACGTGACCTATGCACCAATACAGGTTCCCCGCTAAATTTAGCGTAAAGTTGACTTCACGTGACCTATGCACCAATTCAGGTTCCCCGCTAAATTTAGCGTAATCAGGCTCCCAACTAAATTTAGCGTGAAATTGACTTCACGTGTCCTATGCACCAATTCAGGTTCCCCGCTAAATTTAGCGTAAAATTGACTTCACGTGACCTATGCGGCAATTCAGGTTCCCCGCTATATTTAGCGCCAAATTGACTTCATGTGACCTATTCGCCAATTGAGGTTCCCCGCTAAATTTAGCGTAATCAGGTTCCCGACAAAATTTAGCGTGAAATTGACTTCACGTGACCTATGCACCAATTCAGGTTCCCTGCTAAATTTAGCGCAAAATTGACTTCACGTGACCTATGCACCAATTCAGGCTCCCGACTAAATTTAGCGTGAAATTGACTTCACGTGACCTTTGCACAATTCAGTTTCCCTGCTAAATTTAGGGGGCTCAAATTCCCCGTTAAATTTAGCGGAAATTTAACTTCACGCGACCTATGCACCAATTCAGGTTCCCCGCTAAATTTACCACAAAATTGACTTCATGTGACCTATGCACCAATTCAGGTTCCCCGCTAGATTTATTGTAATCAGGTTCCCGACTAAATTTAGCGTGAAATTGACTTCACGTGACCTATGCACCAATTCAGTTTCCCTGCTAAATTTAGGGCGCTCAGATTCCCCGTTAAATTTAGCGGAAATTTCACTTCACGTGACCTATGCACCAATTCAGGTTCCCCGCTAAATTTAGCGCAAAATTGACTTCATGTGACCTATGCACCAAATCAGGTTCCCCGCTAAAATTAGTGTACTCGGATTCTCCGCTAAATATAGCGGAAATTTGACTTCACGCGACCTATGCGCCAATTCATGTTCCCCGCTAAATTTAGCGCAAAATTGACTTCATGTGACCTATTCGCCAATTCAGGTTCCCCGCGAATTTTAGCGTAATCAGCCTCCCGACGAAATTTAGCGTGAAATTGACTTCACGTGGCCTATGCACCAATTCAGGTTCCCCGCTAAATTTAGCGCAAAATCGACTTCATGTGACCTATGCGCCAATTCAGGTTCCCCGTTAAATTTAGCGCAATCAGGTTCCCGACAAAATTTAGCGTGAAATTGACTTCACGTGACCTATGCCCCAATTCAGGTTCCCGACTAAATTCAGCGTGAAATTGACTTCACGTGACCTATGCACAATTCAGGTTCCCTGCTAAATTTAGCGTGAAATTGACTTCACGTGACCTATGCCCCAATTCAAGTTCCCGACTAAATTTAGCGTGAAATTGACTTCACGTGACCTATGCCCCAATTCAGGCTCCCGACTAAATTTAGCGTGATATTGACTTCACGTGACCTATGCCCCAATTCAGGTTCCCGACTAAATTTAGCGTGAATTTGACTTCACGTGACCTATGCCCCAATTCAGGTTCCCGACTAAATTTAGCGTGAAATTGACTTCACATGACCTATGCACAATTCAGTTTACCTGTTAAATTTAACGGGAGCCGAGCACCTGCCCGTGTGTGCAATGATAAATGACATAGATAATCACTTCTGTGGTTTCTACAAATTTACCTCCACCCTCAATTCTTTTTTCACTAAAATAATGCCTCATTGCTAAAAATATTGTTACTTGGATCACGGGAAACTTTCGTTTTTATATTTTATGTTTGATCCAGTTAACGTTATGTTTCCAAACTTCTTGAATTCGAAGAATGAAAAAGTTAAAAGCATCAGTAACTAACCGTGTTGGTTCTGTAACACTTTGTTTTTTAACTGGTAACGTTTAATTTGAAATGTCCACAACAAAATACTTGTTACATTTATTGACTCAAAATATTTATTCATACATTACGTGACGGACGCCTTATATCATGAAGCTGCATTTTATACAATCAGGTAAACCGTGTATACCAGTCCGTTATCAAAACCTGCAAAAACAGCACCGAATAAACTGTTTTTGTTAACAGCTTAAATTCCCGATTTTCAAAAATTAACTATATATTCTAGAAAAAAAAGAAAAAAAAATCCCCACCAGTGTGTTTGTTCTGACCTGTTCAAAAGCATGAAAGGCAATATAGGGCAATTGAATAATAAAAGAAACAAGCGTGGATCATACTTGTGGAAAAACCCTGGTGCTAAATGTCGCAAATGTTCTCCGTTGCTAATATATATATATATATATATATATATATATATATATATATATATATATATATATATATATATATATATATATATATATATATATATATATATATATATATATATATTATTTTTGCATATGCCGGCTTACTAAACTGAGAAGCCTGATATCTGAACCCCAAATATACTGAAAATATGGGCACAGGAAGGGTATACAACACGCTATTTCTGTTCTAGCTCTATTGTCGTTGTGTGAAGGCGCAACTTTATGTAGATCTTCGTAAGTTGACTTTCGATAGTATCGATAGTGAGCTATCGATTGTCGACTATCTATAGTTTTCGAGAATATCGATAGTTTGGGAAAAAACGATCGATACTCAATTTTTCCATAGATTTGCACGACTGCTTGCCTTCCGCCATGGTTTTGCTGGGCGTGAATGCTCAAATCTCACAAAACACCAAAGTTATTAAAGGTATAGGAGGCTCGTTCTAAGGGCCAGACAACTAAGAAACACCCTTGCCATATTGTTTTTTCTTTTACGCAGTCGTACGGAATTTATGCTGTTTTTCCGAATTGAATACCACACACGACCGTTAATAACAATTAAAAAAGAACTACCGTGTCTTTCATACCGGTATATTTGCTTTCTTTTTTCGTTATAAGAATTGCGCAAGGATCATATTTTCGTTTCACGACGTTGCAATCAGAGCCAGGAACTCAGTATAAAGCAAACAAAAATGCGTAGGTTTATTTGGTATATCTTAACGTTTCTATTGACACACGTCTTAACCAAAACGTGCGCATGGCCTCTGTACATTCACAATGTATAATATTTGCAATCTAACACAGTTTCTGCCAGTTCTTCGCTCGCGTCGTATAGACATGCAGGCCAAAGGGTGGCGATGAAAGACAACGATCACATCATCCGCGCCTCCACAGTCCAATACGTAGGATTCGAGGAATGTTCGAGACATTCCACTTTGGAACAGCATCATAAACAGAGGACAGGTCTCGAGAATATTACAAGCAGCGTGAATCATGACTAAAAATAAAGACCAAAAACAAATAACTTTTATAATCACGCTGTAAATGCGAAGAAATGCCCCATATATCGCCGCTGAAGGACGTGTGTTCATATAAAGGTAAACACATAATAGAGGTTTCCGCATCTACCTATTTTCTCTATTAAATTTTTAAAATTTGTAAACTCTTCATAAAGTTGAAAAATACACATGGTGACGCACGTATTACACGCCCGTTATTAACGTCGGACACACAACCTAACATTCGGAGTCATTCGCACACAATAAATACTCAAGTACAACCCTTAAAAACAATAGGGCCTCCTTTCTCGCCGCTTCAAACATGCCGCGCATCACCGTAAGCGTTGGTGGAATCCGGGTAATCGTAGAGACGAAAAATAGAGCACACCATGTAAAGACGCCGGCGAGCGAAAATGCTTTGAAGCCAGAACACATGCCCAAAAGAATGAACTGAAAATCGGAGTTCAGGTTTGGAACCTATGTACGAGAAATAAATCGAAAACTGCAGGGGAATTCAGAACAGGCCAAAAATCCCTTCGTGCAATCTTTGAAAAAAAAGTCGTTTACTACACGAAAATAATGGTTTTGATCAGTGCCGTACCAACTTGTTGTTGAGTGGGGGGGCAAACCAGAACCCCCCCCCCCCCCCCTTTAGGACCGGGGCGGTGCCCTTTGTATCCCTGAGGCATCGACGGGTAGTGTTTGCCGTGCCCAGGGGCGGCTTTTTCAGGGGGGCAAAGCATATGCCTTGCCCCCCCCCCCCCCCCCCACTCTGAGAACTGGCGGGGGGGGGGGGGGGGCAAGCGCCCCCCTTGCCCCCTCGGTTGGTACGTCCATGGTTTTAATAAAGCCATACCCAATATTTTTTGTGTAATAAATACCAGCCCGTGGTTTGGTTCCCAAATTAGGTAAAACTATTTTACCATGTTTCGAAATTATTCTTTGCACCCTCGGCCATTTCTGACACCGTCGTTCGACGACGACGGATTTTCGCGTAATGGGGCAAATAATGCTTTTGCATTAAACACGTTGCACAGTTGTTCCTGCCTTTAAAAAGGTTGCAAGCTTTTTTCTGCCTTTATGCGAAAAACGTTGCGCGCACAATTTTCGGGTGTTCCGATTTCTGTCCAATATTCGTTCTTTCTATAATGTTCAAACCGTGCCAGTACATTTTTGTCACTCCCATTTTAACGTGACGTAGGTCAAACTTTATATACGCTCAACACTTGACAGCTAATATTGGGGACAAATGGGCATCACGCATGCGCGGTCGCAGCGTATAGGCGTACGCCACGTGCATAATGAGGAGCGGACCACGTAAGGCTGGAATCGGAACACCCAAGGGCAGGCTATGGCAGAAGGACGACGAGCTTGTGGTGAGGGTCAACAGTCTTTCGCGAGCTTAGGATATTTGGCCTTGAGGCTGTTCATTAGCCTCGCGTGGTGGGCATTGTTCACTTTCACGAACGGCACGCGCCTCCGTTCCTCCTTGGCTATGATGGTCTTGATGCCAGGAGCGTGCACCAGGAACGCGTTGTCCAAGATGTGGAAGTCGTAGCCCTTCAGACACAGCTCATAACTCTGCGAAGATAAAGCAAAACATTAGATAAAACACTTCAAATGTGCCAAAGAAGGAACTTAGAAGAATGAAAACTAAGCGAAGACCTCGCGGACAGTTCCTAAGTGCCAGGGTCGAAAAGAAGAAAAGAAGGGGGGAGGGGTCTCGGTTAAAGCGATGCGCCTTTTATTAATGCATGAAATGGATTATAAGTGAGCTATACCCAAATAATTTACTTGGGAAATATATCGCACTCTGCGAAAATCCAATGACCTTGGCGCGGACAGGCTTGGCCTAGTTGGTATACGGTTGGATACGGCGCCTATACTAGCATCCATCGTTCAGGAGAACTTTTTCCTGCTCGTAGCTTCAGCTTGACTCGCACTATAGAGAGTAATTAAATGACCACACTGAACGAAATACTATAACCATCTGGACCATGATCGGGTGTGACTGTCATAAAAGAAGCTATAATTAGACAGCAGATATAGAAGCATATCTTAAGAAAGATACATTCTCATGTTGTGATGAAGGCAACAAAGCCATATTACGGCAGCAAAGGAAGCCTACGTATCTGATCGTTGCACGTGACTACAAACTTTCATTCGTGGCGACCGACAGACAGCTATACTTCTAGAACAGAACGCGAATCTCTGAGCACATTCATCAAACTTGGCCGATCTCGACCTAAGAGCTGAACTTTACGAAGCGAATATGCGGCGAACCCATGGATGAACTTCGCCAGGATGCACGTTCGCTTTGCATACGGCTCAACTGATACTGGACAGTTTTACTGGACCTTACGCTAAAGCTTTGCGTACGCAAATAAACTGCGGGTCGAGAGTCCGCATGCCCAGAACGCAGTAGAAAAGCTAGCCTATCGCGTACGAACGGAACGCTGGGAGTTTCGCGTTGCGGGCTAGCGGGTTTTGCGCGAAGCCCTCTAGGAGACCTCGGGCCCAGCGAGAGCACCAGTTTCAAGATGGCGGTTATCTCGATTGGCGCAGCAAGGACAAGCTCGTGTTTGCGAAGTTCAGTGTTAGGTGAAATTTCGTGGTGTTCAGCTCGGCAATTCCTTCCGGGACCTACTGCTGTCGAGTCAGATCGCCGTGCAGCTGAAGGAGTGCATAGTAAAAATGTTCACTGCTCGTAATGTGCGTGAACGCTGTGATCTGCTCAAGGATGAGCACCTTCGCGCAGTTAATCGCCGACGGACGAAAAATCGCCCAACTTGTCACTGTGCACTGGACATCAGCAAGTTATGGATTTTTTTTTCCCCGTGATAGCATTGATGAAAGGTGTTGTTTCTTCGGGACGATTGACGGAGACTCCGTGATCGAATATGCTACGCACTCGTGCTTGTAGCCTCCGTACACGCCGGCTACGTGCTTGCAGAAAAGCGCTTGACCAGGCAGCTGCGGCTTGGATTAATTAGAAATAAAGTGATTGGAAACGTTTTCATATTCAATATTCCTTTTGAGGAGCGTGGTGGCGCTATAAGCACGCGGAATTCTACGGCTCTGGCAGATTTAACCAAGACCATGCGAGATGTTCCCTCGGAAACGTAACGCACAACTAAAATCGGTCCGAGCAGGCCGTTTTTAGCATACGCTATGCTACTCCGTATTGAATACGCAAAAGCCAGCAACGCTTGACGCCGCGCAAAGCGATTGCTGACTGGCGTCACTTGTTCGCATGCTCGCAGCATATTCGCTAATGACAGCGTTTCACCTGTGCACGCAACCATTCTGAATGTCATAAGACTATACAAGACTACCAGTACTGTCTAACGTTTCAGAAAGTGTTGGTTTTAGACCGAAATTACCTGTGCCATTTTGTCCCGCTTGCCTTCCCACGTGAGCGCTTCGGGATAGAGAGGGTCATCGTTGGTGCCTATGTATATAGGTTCCCACGAGCGTTTCGTCTTGTCCCTTTTCGTGGTGGTCAGGATCCCCAACTTATCCTCGTCGGGAACGTAGAGCACCCACTCGTCCCTCTTTGGGAACTTCTGACACTGTTCACACACCCACTTATGAAAGAATATAGCTGTCTTGTTGCGCATCATCTTCACCAGCGTGTCTTTGGTTAGGGGAGCCGTCTGCTTGGCCTGCACTTCGAAGATGGGCAGGATGAACACCTGGTGCGGCTGCGTGAGGTTGGGTTGCTTGAGCAGCCGCATGAACCTCGGGATGATGTTCCCGCTCGGATAGAGCTCGATGTCCGACGCCAACACGTACCTGGTCTTTGCGCGCGTCCGAGCGGCGTTGCGAAGCACGTTGATGGGATACGTCATCTTGTGAGCCTTACGGTACTCGGCGTACTCCCTCGTCATGACGTCCGAGGAGCACGACCCGTTCCAGGAGGCCAAGAAGTCCGTCGCGTTCTGCAAGCGAGCCGGCCGATGTTCGCGGTCGTACACAATGTGCCACGTCATGTTGGCGCGAACGCAGGGATCGCCGCACTGCCGCAGGTACGCGATCTTGTTGAGGACGATCTCGTAGTCGGTACCCGGCGAGTAGGCGGCCACTGACACGGGGCCCTGCCAATGACTGCACAGTGTCGGAGCGTGCTGCAGAAACTCGTGCGTCGCTTGAGTGGTCAACGTGACGCTTTCGTTGAAGGGCACCGACTCGTCGGCCGCGATGAAATCCCCGTGGATCACGAACTTTCCGCCACCCGCTACCGCTGTCACAGACACCGGTAACGAAGCGGCGTTTTTGGTCGGCACAGGGCGCGCTGTGGACTGCTTGGACTGCAGCGGCTGCCTGTTCTGGAACTGGGGTTTTATGAGGCTCGTGGCCGCTACTGACTGTAATGGTGGCACCTTGGGATCCGAGTCGGCATCTTGCTGCGATAAGTTGGCAATGACGAGTATGCAGGGCTTGATATCGTTGCGAGGCAGTTGGAAGCAGATCATGTTGTAGACGGCCAGGAGGATGTTCACGGTGATGAAGACCCGATAAGCGAAGCGTAGTTCCGGCCTGTTGATGCTGGCCATGGCGGCTGCTGCTGGCGCTCTCCTCGAGTTGCGTTGCGCGCCGCTGGGGAATCGGCGGTTCTTGCGAAGCTACGTCATGGTTCTGTCCGTAGACCAGTATCGCTCCTCAGCAATCTGTCTTTCCGTTCGAGCGGCAAACTGCGCTTACGCATATGGTCTTGGCATTTGTTGTTGTTGTAAGTTATTTCTTCGCGTGCTTCCTTGGTCAGTCCTCGTTACTTCGGTGACGGGGTGAAATGGTGAGACTCCAATTAGATATAGTTTGAGGGCCATTGTAAGACGTGCTACGGTTCAGGCCGCGCCTGTAACAAGAAAAGAAAGAAGCAGTCTTAGTTATCTGTTATACAATCATCTTGGAGACGCCTCTTATCTTCACTTGCAAGTGTCCTAAGAAATGGTGCTTATCGTAGAATATATAACCGTTTCCCCTCGTCCTAAAAACACTCTTTTGACCACACTCAATTTGTTCGAATATTTTCCCGGTTCAAACGGTGACTTGGTGACCTTTTCTAAAGCATTCACTCTAGTACAGTCATGACTCGTTAATATGAAACATACGTCGCTATATACACAGCATTTCCGGAAACGAACTGGGTAAATACACGCATTTTTGTCCCATTCTTATGGACACTTTTGGGGGGAACAGGGGTGTCTTAATGAGACATCACCAGCACGTATCTTTTACCCCCCAAAAAATTGTCTTGTTTCCGCAAATCTATCGGCATTTCGAATACGTATGGTCATAACGCATCGTACACTCAAATTGATTTATGGTGATGTGGAAAATTGCACTCGTGAACCAACAAATATATTGTTGGCGGAACCGTTTTGTTTTGACATTCGCATCTGTCGTACTGTAAAAGTTGTTCTACGTGGAGTGTTTTGTCGCTGTAACGGGCGTCAGTGTTGACGGCAAAAAAAAAAAGGATGATCATAATACATCTGGGGCCTCTCAAGCGCAGTTTTCCCAGAAAAAATGGCACCATTGGAAGCGGTCTTAACTATTTTGCGCTGTTCGCTCCATGAAATAAAACGAAAATATCGCAGGTAACTGCTTTGAATGACAGGACATATACTGTGCATGAAAAATCCAAGTTTGATTTCTTTTTTTTTCGTTTCAAACGAATGACCAGCGCAGTTCGTTGTTTCATGACTGGCAGCTTTACATTATTTTTTTTCTCATAAATAAAAGATGGTTTGGCTGGGTTTTATAGTATTTCTTTTCCTTAAAAACTTTGAGAACGGAAAGCAGGCTTTAGGCCCCTTAGCAAAAAGCAACACGCATATGCACAAAACCTGCTAGCATCCAGCACTGTACGTAGAAAGCGGGATCTTGCGACAACTCGGAAAAAAAGCACCTATGCAGGATACGTGAAACTCGAGGTTCCTATAATGATTGGGAGAGAATTCAGCGATATGCTCAGCCTCCTGGCAATCAGCCGACTGTCGTATTCTGTCACACGACAACTTTTGTCGCAAAAGTGACAGTCGAAAGTCGCGAAAGTGACCGGTTTGGAGCAGTCGATTCCAGACCGATTTTTGCGGCTTGTCGCCGAGTCGCCCGGCGGCTGAGCCAATCAGCGGCGCCTCTGAAGTGACGTGAGGTGCGCCTCGTGATTGTTTACATCCGGCACGCCGAACGTCTGTGGGAAAAGCGGCCATCAACATGTCCGTTCACCGCCTCGGTTCGCGGTAGCGGCCGTGGGTACAGAGCCGTGGAGGTCTCTGCGGCGGCTCTGGTCAGCGCTATTTAAGAATACCCAGTCCATTTTAAACGCAGCACCCGAATTTAAACATGCGCCCGAAAAAAAGAATTCTGAGTACAGCTAAGCACTTTTTATGAATTGTGAATGCGAAAGCATGAATGTCGTTCTTTCACTCCCCGAGTTCGTCTGCGGCGAACTGGCGTGGACGGCCACGTTTCGCGACTGCCGAGGTTGTGGCCGGCGGCCGAGCGAATTTTTACGTCATTTACACTCGCAGTCCTAAAAGCTGGCGTGGTACCTATTGATTGGAAGAATGACAGGGGTTTCCCAGTTTACAAATCTGGCAGTGCCCCGGATGTGCAAAATTACAGGCCAAAATCGTAGTTATGTTTAAGTGGCAAAGTTGTTGAACATTTTTTATGCAACCAACTAACGGTCTTTCTAGAAAAGAACAACTTTTTCCGCGGAGAGCAACACGGTTTTAGGCGCGGCCTATAGACAGTCGCGCAACTTTTACTATTACTGGTGAAAATACTCGACGAAACCAGTCAAACAGACGTCGTATTTTTGGACCTCGCTAAGGCGTTCCGATCGTGTCTCCCACCCCAAGCTCTAGCGCAAGTTGAAGCACATGTTTAAAAACGTAAACATAGCCAAATGGCTTGATTCTTATCTTATTAATATGATACACAGTTCGTGACCGTCAACGGTGACGAATCGCAGATGGCAGACGTCATCTCCGGTGTACCGCAGGTGTCGGTGATCATGCCTCTGCTGTTTTTGGTTTTCATTAAGGACCTTAAAGTAAGTAACCCCTCGATACAATGTCGTTTCTTCGCGGACGACTGCGTCATGTTTTCGAAACTCATATGTCGCGCCGACCAAATCAACTTGAACGATTGCTTATCGGCAGCATAAAAAGCTGTGCGAAATAGAATGATGGTGCCCAACGCTTCGAAGTGCGTCTACATGACAGTCATCAATAGAAAACCAACCGGCTCTCTTCACCTACACTATCGGCGATGTCTGCTTAGAAACAGTCACAGAGTAGAAATACCTCGGCGTCATACTAATTTTAAAACTATCTTGGAATTTGAATGTCAGTGACTTTGTTAGGAAAGCACGATGAAAGTTGTGGAAGTTTGAGAAGGAACCTACGCTACTGCACCTCCGGGACTAAAATAGCATGTTATAAAAGCCTTATTCGCCCCGTGCTAGAGTACGCAAACGTAGTATGGGACCCATGGTTGCAAATGAGCATGAATGCGCTAGAAAATCTTCACGACAGGCGATCTTCGATAACGGAGCTCTACCAGCAATCAGGCTTGCCGCACCTTGCTATACGAAAGAAAGCTAACAGGCTAAACATGTATTTCCCGCTTTTCAAAAGCATGAATCGTTTCGATATTGCCGACTGCCAGGGCTGGGCAGAAATACTCTCAAAAGTATTTCGAAATATTACATTAAAATGGCCATTTGGGCCAGTTGGTTCATGATCAAAGACAGGCGCCGAAAAAAAACACAAGGACAAGAAGAGACGTAAACACTGGCGCTATTTGGAAATACAAATCAAAACAGCTAAAATGCTGATACTAAAATACATTTATAAAAATGTATCGGGATACGTATCAGAAATACATTTGAAAAAAAAAAAAGAAAGTCTTTGAAAATACAAATACAGGAATACATTGTTTTGTGGTGGAAGTACAGACACTGCAATACATTGTTATAAAAAACATTATTGTTCACGTTTTGGTGCACCCCTTAGAGCATACGAGGAGCAAAAGAATGCATGCTCTAGAATAAGCTATTTTGTTTTTAAACCAGCAAACGAGTTCTCACTGCAAATCCGAGCTTGAACTGGGCTCGAATCAAATTTACCGCAGAATCATATATATATATATATATATATCAGGGTGTCGAACCGGAACCGAACCGGTATTTTTCCCGGAACTGAACCCAAACCCGAACCGCTATATTGTTATCGCGATGAACCCGAACCGGAACTGAACCGGAAAAAAAATAACGGTTACCGGCTCATGTCAAAACGGTTCGGCCACGCGCTGTTGACAATGAATGTGCTATCAATGCCATTTGTTTTTTAAAGGAGCGATGCAACAATTTTTGTACTTTGTGCAAATACCGCTTAATACGGATCCCTAACGTTAATGACCTATGAAACACGCGTTCGTTTTTCACTCCAAGCAATGGAATTCCCAGAAAAAAATTTAAGAAAAACGAGCAGCGTTCACCCCCTCAACTCGCAGCCAGAACAAGCGGCCACGTGATCTGGAGCCGATTATATGCCGCCAGTGTTGATCATAGCCACGCGCTGGGGTTGGCAAAGCGCTGGACACGCGCTGAGTTCCAGACATTGTTATGGATCGGCTGTTGTCGTCGTTGCAGCGATTGGACACGGGTCACTACCCGAATGCTTTTCGAGCTAGCAATTATCACGAGCCCAAGTCGAGTGTCCACGCAATGCTCGGGTCTGATCTATGAACCGCGTTCAAATATCGTCACTTGGGTGTACTGCGATCCCCACGTTACGTCATAAAATTTTGCACAGGTGAGATTGAATGAAAATGATCGCTTTTGTCCTTGAAATTACACCGCAACAACGGAGTTTCCTGGCCAGCGGCGTTGCGTGTGAGTATCCTTGAGTCCCAGGTGTGCCAGTAAGCTCGTATCAAGTGAAAAACATTCGAATTGAATATCGTTGCACCGCTCCTTTAAGTGCCGTCAACTGACACACACCTCGCTTACATATTTTTCTTCTCCACTCAGTCTTAGGAATATAAACGCTGCATCCATGAATCTCGACAAACGCTGCATCCATGAATCTTGACATAGGAACCAGTATTGCGCTGGTCGTGGCTTGCACGGAAGAAAAAGAATTGGAAGGCCGTGCAAAAAAAAAAAGAATAAAAAATCGCGTCACGGGATTTCATTTTCCTACAATCTCGTAAATCCTAAATGCTGCTGTGTGCTCATTTCATAACACGTTTCTAGAACGCGCGAGTTCTTGAAGCTTGCTTCCATCGGAATGAGAAAAGAAAAGTCTGTGGAGTTTGATAATAATGCATCCGGTTTCGTATAGGCACTTAGAAGCTAACATATTTGTGAGACAGCGAACTCTTCTATTTTAATATTCATCGTATTACGTCCTTCTGGCGTTGCGTTCGGTGAAGTGTTTTTCATATTCCGTATCTTGTTTAATGAAAACTTCTTTAAGGGTCTAATTTGAGTTACCGAAGGCTAGTTCAAATAAAGAAAGCTGTATTTTCTCCCCACTGTTCCTTCAATTGCTTACACGCCGAGGTGGCGGAATAGTTCGCGAGTTCTACTAGTAAGTGGGTTTGTAGGGAGGTCGCGGATTTTACAGCTACTGTGTAGGACACAATTAGATGAAGTCCGAATGCGTAAACGTCGGTGAAGTAACCTTTGAGTGCACATAAAGAAACCATTCCTGGTAGAAATCCCTGAGCCTTACACTACGATGTATCCCGTTTCGTATGCGCTGATTTCAGATGTTTTATTTGTAATTTATTTTGATGTTGCAATTTGTCATTTATAATTTCCGAACCGGTTCGCGA